TGTTATCTTTATTAATTGCCCCTAACGTTGGTAGTTTCAGTTTCAGTAATTTCTAGATTTAAAATTATTTGTAAAATGTTTTCTAAATGCTCACAATTATATAAATTGCCTTCTAACCACGTGCCCTATCTCGTCAAAATAAGCTTTGGGAACAAAATGAGGTCTGGGTATTGGATATAATTCTTAAAATTTTAAAACTTGACTTGGCGCATTAAGAAATATTTTTTCAACTGTTGCTATTAATTGATCAACGTCAAGATAATTTGATCTGATTATTTTTTCTACCACCCGATTTAAACCATGTGCTAAACTGCTAAACACGTGAAAAGTAACCTCAAATTGGGCCATTGTTTATTTTTTGTCCAATCGATGTTAACGTTTCCTCGTCAATTACTTAAATATATATATATATTATATATATTGTATATATATTTAGAGTAATTTCATCATCAAGAATTGTTTTGCCGGAATATTGTTTTAAAAAATCTTTTAATACAGTTAAAATGTTGACGAACTGTTACACCCAAAAGAAGATGTAAAACATTTTCATTAAACTTATCGACGGCGCATTTAAGAGCGTCATATAATCCATACGTGGATGCCGTTTAGATAAAACAGATAATTTCGTCGTCGAAAATCCATGAAAAATTGGAAAAATTGAAAAAATATTTATGAAAAATGTATTTCTTTGTAAAATACATAAAATTATCTAAAATAAATGTTGGTTTATTTTAATCAGAATGACCTCAATCGAATACATTTTTATCAGAATAAGAATATCTCATTTCAATAAAATTATGTATTCACAATATAATCTATTCCCTAGTCATTTTGAATGGTAATAAATAATAATATAACAATATAAATAAACTGATTGTGCTAAAGCTAAAAAACTTACMRKTTTTTTTTATTTAAGATATTAAGCGGAAGTATTTTATAATTATAAAATAAAATTMTCTCATTAAATTACATACTGAATAATATGTTTYTCAAATTTAAGTCTATGATTAAAATGTATATACTTGASTATTTTATATTACAAACTATCTATATATACAGGAATATATTTACATGGTATAATGGTGCATTTAAATATTCACAATTTGTTATAAGAATGTGTAAGGTGCATCGTACATAATGATAAGTGGATAAGTCTGAAGTAAAACTATTTGTACTCATACAGTTAGTACTTAGTAGTATTAAAAAAATATATATTTACTTAAATCAAATTATASATTCCTTAATCAAAACAAAATAAATACGAGTATTTKCTTCTTCAAATGAATCATTATAAATTTTGTTCTTTACAGGCACTGAAGTACAATTKTATTATTGAYATATAGTACAAAATACAAGCATTTTGATTTAAATTTAAAAGCCCTTTTATAAATGAATAATGATAAATAMAATTGGATCAATTGGATCTAACAGTAGCCACTAGCCAGTAAGTAAATCGGAGCACTGAAAAACAATTAATAATTGTATTGCTAGGAATTTCTTCAAGTATTTAATGACGAATTATTGAAAAAAATATTAGAATTTTTTGGATGCTACATTCGCGGTTGTCGTCGCATTCGGCGTGTATCTAACATTTCAAATTTAGTATTTCCAGCATTTTGACAGTTCATGTTACGTTCACGTTTAGTTATATACTTATATATTTTTACTTTTTAAGACAGAATTATTGTCACCTTTATTGCCAACATTATATGTATTCTCTTGGAGKATTTTTAAATATTGTTTTATTTTACTAACTTATTATATGATTTCAGTTCTTAATGCTGTATTTGTACCATACGTCCATAGTCCATATATGGTATACACTAGGTTAAGTACACTATATACTGACCYGTCTGCTATTAAATCACAACCATTTTTTCCTTAGAAACTCCATTAATAATAATATTTTTGCTATTGTATTTCAAAAATCTGTACATCTATAGCTTTTTGGAAAGCATTTTTATGTGCCGACTAACAAAACCCAATAATATGATTAGTACAATACTAAACTATAAGACCAACCATAATGTTTTATATGAAATATTATTTTTAATATATTTCCAAGTTATGTCAAGGGGAAGAATMAATATAGCTGGTTGTTCAAATTCCAAGTGCAGATTAATGAAGTAGTCGAGGTCGAGGGGTCATGCTACTGTGGCCCTAATAACTGACTAGGTTTCACAAGGTTGAGCGGCCCACCCGCAGCTATTAATTCCTGAATATTTATTTTAATTTTACTAGGTTGGTCGTTAAACATTTTAAGAACAAACGATTTCTTTGTTCACTTATTGTATGAACGTAATCTTTCATAGAATATTTTAATATTGTGTACATTGAATGTGTAGATTTATTATTTATAGGTAATCAAATAGGTAATTAAGATATTACGAAACTGTCTAAGTTATTACATCTACGCAGTGTTATATTCACCATTATCTGAAAATTACATTTTTAATTTGCAAAAATCATATTATCATTAACAAAATTCGTGTAATTAAAAGCTTGGAAAATATTATATCTATAGACTATAAGTAATATCTAAAATAATAAGTTCAATGTATAGGTAGGTATAAGTATAATATCTTATGGAATTTCTTTCAAAACCTACATACAATATATATTATTTAAAGAAATAAATAATTTGTATTTTAAATAAATATTTAAAAAATGTATTTAATATTGATTTCGGTAAAGTACGCCGTTAATACAATGTAGGTATACTCCGTAGTATATACATCATTTTGTATTGTAATATATTATTATAAAAACGCGTGTTCGTTTAATTAATATGATTTAAAAGTTAAAATAATTAAAATTTGTGGTTTGCTTTTCGAGTTCATTGCGAATTATGGAATTTACACGCAAACAGTAAGTTGTTGGTAATGTTCATGTATGAAATAAAAATTTATGCTATTGCAATATTACATTCATATTACTAGCTGGAGCGGTCATCGGTAGAGGAATACGATTGCAGRGGGGCTGCTCTTTTAGACCGTGTAGAAGTGTTCATAAAAAAACGGTTATGGCTATATTATACACAGGAAGTATGCAATAAAATATAACAATAGACACTGGTTATACGATCATTTTACGTTTTCTATAGATCCTAGTTGATAATTATAATTTTTTTTAGCAACAATAATCATACAAATTGTTTAACGGGTCGTTGTATACTACGGCAAACAAAATTAAAAACAGCAAATTACAACAAAAATAATTAATACTCTATATTAATTGACTATTAAATTAATTATACAAAAAAGAAAACAT